TATATATATATATATATATATACATATATATACACACATATATACATATACATATATATGTATATATATGTATTGTAATAGATATATATTTATAGTTATATATCGTAAGTAATACTTTATATTAGTTATAGTAACTATATATTTTCTACTTTCTAATCATATCTTATTTTTAAATGATAGCATATATAAATATAAATATGCCATAACGCAAAAAGATTATCATGATTAAAATAAATAGATGCGATAATATATTTTTTCAGATTTTAGGTTAAATAAGTATTTGTTTTGTTTGTTATTCAGAATTTTGCATTGAACTTAATATTTTTAATTGCCATGCTTGTTTGTGCACTCTTCTTCAGCTCTTGGACAGAAGACACTCGCTCCTGCATCTTCTCTGAAAGTGCTCTCCGTCAGAGCCGACAGAACCAGGAGCCGCTGGTGGAGGTTCTGGACAGACAGATTCAACACAAGTTCGAGGAGTTCGACCGGCTCGCTGTGGCGGGACAGAAGCTGTTCGACCACCAGCATCACCTTAGCAAAATGGTAGAGCATGTTGTGCAGGAATATAAAGAAAGCAAAAGCACAGAATAAAGAATACACTGGAACATAAACTGTTCTGAAATATTTGGGTTTATTTGCTGTGATCTTGTGCAGATCAGGGAGAGGATGGAGGAGTTGCGGAGCATGCTGGGATGGATCCTGGTCCACTGGAGAGCTCAGAAAGATCAGCTGTTGAACAGACAGAAGACTGAAAACCAGCAGAGCCAAGAAGATGCCATTTATTCTGAAGCCGCGGTCTGCAGCTCACAAACACAGGTACACTGAGCATGCACTCGCTGATTTATACAGCTGATGAGATAACCTGAGAAAAGAAACTAGAACTTTGAAGTGACTATTCAATTTATGTTTATGTCTATAGCACTATTTACAATGTAGATTGTGTCAACGCTGCAAAGTAAATGTATGATGCATTTTTTTTATAATTTTGCATGATTTAGTTGGTCATACAATAATAAAAATGCACATAATAATTATAATACGTCGACAGTAATACAATCAGTTTTTTTACAATCAACATTTGTAAAACTATTTGTGGTCTAACAATAAACATGCTGCGATTTTATAAATAACACAGTTGTATAAGTTTAATGTAAATAGCTTAATTTAAATATGAAGTAAATATATTGGCCACTTTATTAGGTACACCTTACTAGTACCAGGTTGGACCCCCTTTTGTATTCAGAGCTGCCTTAATCCTTCATGGCATAGATTCAACAAGGTACTGGAAATATTCCTCAGAGATTTTGCTCCATATTGACATGATAGCATCACACAGTTGCTGCAGATTTCCCGTTCCACCACATCCCAAAGGTGCTCTATTGGATTGACATCTGGTGACTGTGGAGGCCATTTGAGTACAGTGAACTCATTTTCATGTTCAAGAAACCAGTCTGAGATGATTCTCACTTTGACATGGGGCATTATCCTGCTGGAAGTAGCCATCAGAAGATGGAGACACTGTGGTCATAAAGGGATGGACATTAGCAACAATACTCAGGTAGGCTGTGGCGTTGACACGATGCTCATTTGGTACTAATCGGCCAAAAGTGTGCCAAGAAAATCTCCCCCACACCATTACACCACCACCACCAGCCTTAACCGTTGATACAAAGCAGGATGGATCCATGCTTTTATGGTGTTGAGGCCAAATTCTGACCCGACCATCCAAATGTGTCAGCAGAAATGGAGACTCATCAGAGCAGGCAACGTTTCTCCAATCTTCTATTGTCCAGTTTTGGTGAGGCTGTGTGAATTGTAGCCTCAGTTTCCTGTTCTTAGCTGATAGGAGTGGCACCTGGTGTGGTCTTCAGCTGCTGTAGCCCATCCGCCTCAAGGTTGGACCTGTTGTGTGTTCAGAGATGCTCTTCTGCAGACCTCGGTTGTAGCAAGTGGTTATTTGAGATGCTGTTGCCTCTCTGTTTGCTGGAACCAGTCTGGCCATTCTCCTCTGACCTCTGGCATCAGCAAGGCATTTGCGCCCACAGAACTGCCGCTCACTGGATATTTCCTCTTTTTCAGATCATTCTCTGTAAACCCTAGAGATGGTTGTGCGTGAAAATCTCAGTAGATCAGCAGTTTCTGAAATACTCAAACCAGCCCGTCTGGCACCAACAACCATGCCACATTCAGAGTCACTTAAATCCCCTTTCTTTCCCATTCTGAAGCTCGGCTTGAATGCTTAAATGCATTGAGTTGCTGCCATATGATTGGCTGATTAGAAATTTGAGTTAATGAGCAGTTGGACAGGTGTGCCTAAAAAAATGACCGGTGAGTATATATTCCAATGCAAACCTAGTTAAGCCTTTAAATGTCACTTTAAGCTGTCTTGAAAAAAATACTATATACTGCCATCATGGCAAAGATAAAGGAAATCATTTGTTGGTAATTACTTAATAATAAAACTGTTATGTTCAGAAATGAGTTGAAAAAATCTTGGTTAAACAGAAATTAGGGAAAAATATAAAAGTTTTCAAATTGACCAGGAGGGCTAATAATAATAAAAAAGGGCTAAATAATAATAAAAAAAAAAGAAATACACATTCTGCTTCTTTTCAGAGCGAGATCTCACCTGCAGCATGTCAGCAAAAGACAGAAATCCTGCCAGTGGCTCCCCCTGAACAGGACACGCTGCAGCACAGTAATGATGAGTATGAGGTGATGAAGAGCGTCAGTCCTGCAGGAGGAGATGACAGAAATCATGCAGAGAGAGCAGAGTCGCCGTATCTGCTGCTAAAAGAGTCCAGTCCTTCATCTCTGGGAGGAACCGTAAACCTCATCCTGAGCTTCAGTGAGTCTGGAGACACACAGATCCAGCTTCAGGCGTCGGGCGGAGAGAAAGACACGCCGGAGCCTGAACCCGTGCACAGGGTGAGCAAGAATAAACTTCATAAAACACTCATGCACTATTATACACATCTTCATTTTCTTTCATTTGCATATCAAAATCGGTCACACTTTACAATTAGGTTGCATTACATTAGAATACAATAAATTAGATTAGATTACATTAGATTACTTTAGATTACATTACCTTATATTAGATTACCTTACATTAGATTACATTACATTTTGGATTAGATTACATTAGATTAGATTACATTACATTAGATTACATTTTGGATTAGATTACATTATACTAGATTACGTTACCTTTTGGATTAGATTACATTATATTAGATTACACCATATTAGATAACATCACATTAGATTACTTCACAATATATTACATTACATTGCATTAGATTAGATTACATAACATTAGATTACATTACATTTTGGATTAAATTACAGTATATTAGATTACATTACATTAGATTACATTACTTTTTGGATTAGATTTCATTACAATAGATTACATTAGAGTAGATTGCATAACATATTAGATTACATTACATTACATTAGATTACATTGCATTAGATTACTTAACAATAGATTACATTACATTGCATTAGATTAGATTACATTACATTAGATTACATTACAGTAGATTGCATCACATTAGATTACATTACATTAGATTACATTGCATTAGATTACTTAACAATAGATTACATTACATTGTATTAGATTAGATTACATTACATTAGATTACATTAGATTACATAACATTACATTACATTACCTTACATTAGATCACAATACATTCGATTAGATTACATTAAATTGCACCAGATTACATTACGGTACATTAGATTACATTACATTAGATTAAATTACATTTTGGATTAGATTACATTAGATTACATCACATTAGATTACTTTACAGTAGATTAGATTACATTTCATTAGATTATATTACAGCACATTAAATTACATTACATTAGATTACATTAAATTTTGGATTCAATTATATTGTATTAGATTACATTACATTAGATTACATTACTTTTTGGATTAGATTACATTACATTAGATTACATTAGAATAGATTACATTAGATTACATTAAATTAGATTACCTCAGATTAGGTTACATTGGAGTAGATTGCTTCACATTATATTAGATTACATTACAGTAGATTACATTATATCACATTAGATTACATTACATTGCATTAAGTTACATTAGATTAGATTATATTACATTAGATTAGATTACATTACATTAGATTACATTAAATTAGATTACGTCAGATTAGATTACAGTGGAGTAGATTGCTTCACATTATATTAGATTACATTACAGTAGATTACATTATATCACATTAGATTACATTACATTACATTGCATTAAGTTACATTAGATTAGATTATATTACATTAGATTAGATTACATTACATTAGATTACATTAAATTAGATTACGTCAGATTAGATTACAGTGGAGTAGATTGCATCACATTATATTAGATTACATTACAGTAGATTACATTATATCACATTAGATTACATTACATTGCATTGTTACATTAGATTAGATTAGATTACATTACATTAGATTACATTAAATTAGATTACGTCAGATTAGATTACAGTGGAGTAGATTGCATCACATTATATTAGATTACATTACAGTAGATTACATTATATCACATTAGATTACATTACATTAGATTACATTACATTGCATTGTTACATTAGATTAGATTAGATTACATTACATTAGATTACATTAAATTAGATTACGTCAGATTAGATTACAGTGGAGTAGATTGCATCACATTATATTAGATTACATTACAGTAGAATACTTTATATCACATTAGATTACATTGCATTAGATTACATTACATTGCATTGTTACATTAGATTAGATTAGATTACATTATATTACACTAGATTAGATTACATTACATTGCATAACATTTGATTACGTTACATTTGATTAGATTAGATTACATCACATTATGGTACATTAGATTAGATCACATTACATTAGGTTTCATTATAGATTACATTACATTAGATTAGGTTACTCTACATTAGATTCAACTTTATTACACATGTAGGGTACAGGATAACAGAATGCAGTTAGCATCTGACAAGAGTGCAAATATAATCAGTAAGTGCAGCAATAGTAAATAATACACACATACAGCCGAAGTCAGATTTATTACAGAGGATTCTGGAATGCAACTTGTTGCTTTCAGTTATTTACTTTTACATAACTTTTAATCCATTTTTAAGCCTTTTTTATAAGGTCAGTTACTGTCAGTGATTTGTATTAAATTTACATTTTGTATATTGCTTTGTCTTTCAGTAAAATATACTGTAATTTACTAAATACAACCGTTTAGAAATATATTAAAAATAGAAAAAAATTACAACATATATTTCATCATGTAAATTGTAAATTAATCATATTTCTAGCTTAAGTGTTTATGTTATAAAATGTTTTACGTCAGTTTAATATAATTTAAGTTTAAATGAATCCTCAGGTTAATTTGATTCAACTTAAAATCTAAGGCAGAAAAATCAAGAGAGCGCTTAAGTTTTCTCAGTTCATCAGAATTTACTGCATTTATTAGCTATGGCTTTAGGTAAAATGTTAATATTTATTTATTTATTTATTTGAAAAGTCTGATAACATGTCATCAAAAGTTTTTAACTTATTGTTATTGAAAGTCAGGAATATTCAAACAAATACTTTTTTATCTATTCTGAAGTTTTAAAATGGCATTGCATTGTCTAAAATTAATATAAGCATCTACAAATATTTATATTTATTGTTATTTTATGCAAGCACAAATAAAAAGCTCTAAATTACAGCATTTTTATTTTGCATTGGGAAGAAACCTCATCATTAGTTTACAGAATAAAATTCTCTTTTATAAAATAGTGAATGAAACAGTGAAGCTCGTGCAAGATAAGAATAATTTAAACATCACAAAACACACTGATCATTCAGTTCCTCCTCATATTTCCCTCAACAACATCCGCTTGTGTTTTATCTTCCTGTACGCTCTCCTTCAGCCTGCCGACTCTCACTCTTCTGCCTGTAAAAGCTTTTGGAAACGCTGCCAGGGGCTTTTTGGTAGTTTAAAGCGAAAGAAAAAGATTTATCGGCACAGTGCAGAAGAGGTAAATACAGTCCGGTGGCCATGCATGAGTAAACACACACACACACATACACACACACACGTGAATGAGTGCATGAGGACTGCAGTGTGATGGATTGACTAACACAGAAATCATGTCATCTGAAGGAGGTCATGACCCTGGATCTGCGGGGAATCACAGACATCTAGACAGAATGTGTATTCTGAACAGACTTTGATGGAAGAGCATTGACTGTGTTTTAGTGAAGATTGCAAACATGTATGAGCAGGTAATGAAAAGATTTGGTAATGAAAAGGAAATTGCCTCTTTCAATGATCTCACTGTGAGCCACAGCAATATGGGAAGCATTAGAAAATCTTCCAAGATACATATAAAGCCTCATTTCGAAACATTCAGCTTGTTTACAAAACTGTCTTCGGGGAATTGTTTTAAAGTAATTGCAGTCAAAAATAAAACTGTGTGTTTTTTGGGACGGTTACAACAAGTTATGCTAGAGTATATCAGCCTTAAATGGACCTGCAGGAATCCCCTGGGCTTTTATTATGCCCGTTCTGTGAAGTGTAATTGTCGGACAGTATTAGACGCTATTTTGGAAATGGTGGACATTGCTGGAGGTTTGAAGCTCTCATGTAATCAGATTATTATTATTTTTAAACATCAGGAGATTTGGGGATTATGAGAAAGATAGAATTTCAAACTGCGGTCATGTCTTTTTATTCTTAGATGCATTTTGATATCTGTCAGCAGGATTTGTTTGTATTTTGTTCTGCTGCTTGTAAATGAGACCCCAGAGATGAGGACATGAGAATGTGTTCATATTGAGTTTCTCATAGTGGGTGACCAGTAGACCATTTATTTTCCTTCTGCTTACTCCCTTATTTATTAGAGGTCACCGCCAGATATTCCAGCATATCTTTTAAACAGCGCATGCCCTTCCAGCCGCAACCTATTGGGAAACACCCATGCACTTGCACACACACACTCATATACTAAGGGCAATTTAGTTCATCCAATTCACTTATAGTGCATGTGTTTGAACTGTGGGGGAAACCGGAGCACCCGCCAACACGGGGAGAACATGCAACCTTCTTGCTGTGAGGCAACAGTGCTAACCACTGAGCCACCGTGCCAGCCTAGTTGAAAGGTTTTGCTTTAAAATAGTAACTTCTTTGCTAAATTCTGTTTGTGTCTTGCAATTTTGACTATATTGTGGCCGTACTGAGTTTATTTCCTGCAATTCGAACTTGTTAGTCTAGAAAATCAGATTTTTAAAAAATGAATCTTGACTTTTTGTCATGCTTGAAATTGTTTACATCTTGTAAATTCTGTTTTTTTTTCCACCATGAAATTACAAAAACGTTTTGTCTTTGCCATCGCAAGTTTTTCACCCTTTTCACAATTCTTAATTCTTTTATTGTCATTCTGAATTTATTTCTCAAAGCTTTTACATTTGTGAGAAATAAATTTTGAGATGTTTGGAAATTATGAATATACAAAATCTGATATTCAAGGTAATTTCAATAAAAATATTTGTATATTTAAAAAATATAAAATGTAATCTTATTTTTTATGTATTTTCATTTTTGAAATTACCTTCAAAACATCAGATTTTATATACTTAAGATTTATAAAAATCTCAAAATTAATTTCTCCCAAATTTCAGATGAAATTTCAAACTTTGTTTCTTGCAATTCTGACATTTTTGGAAATTGAGTGTATAAATTGTGATATTTATAATTGTGAAAATTATTTGTATATTTAAATATATATATATATATATATATATATATATA